TAATTACAGCAACCTTAAAGCTCTGTGGTACATAACCATCCATTAAAGACAAATTAAGTAAATCCAAAATGTGGACATTAATTAGTGGAAATACCTCTTTAAACAAGGGGCAGCACGGTGGTGCAACTGGTAGAGCTGCTGCCTCTCAGCGAGCAGGTCCTTGGTTCAAACCCCGGTCCAGGGGCCTTTCTGGGTGGAGTTTGCATGTTCTCTCCGTGCATGCGTGGGTTTTCTCCGGGTACTCCAGTTTCCTCCCACAGACCAAAAACATGCATGTTAGGCTGATTGGTAACTCTGAATTGTTCCTAGGTGTGAGTGAGAGAGTGAATGGTTGTTTGTCTCGTTTGTCTCTATGTGGCCCTGTGATGGACTTGCAACCCGTCCAGGGTGTCCCCCGCCCCTCGCACTGTGATTGCTGGACATGGGCACCAGCGACCCCCGTGACCCAAAATGGAATAAGCAGGTAAAGATAATGGATGGATGGATGGACCTCTTTAAACAGTCTGGTTGGGATGGGATCTAGCAGGCATGTGGATGGTTTGGATGAGGTTATTATTTTTGACAATTCAGAGCTCAACAGGACAAAAACTGTCCAAACATAAATCAGGCTCTAGTGAAATTTTTAAAGTTGTCTCATTTGACAGGGGACTAGAGATAGTAGAAGGAAGGATGGTTTGAATTTTCTCTCTAATTGAAATAATTTTATTTATAAAGAATCTCATGAAGTCATCACTACTTATAGTTGTAGGGATACATGGTTCAACAGAAATGGAACTTTTAATTAGTCTAGCAATAGTACTAAACAGAAACCTAGGGTTATTTTTATTCTCCTCTATTAAAGATGAGTAATATAAAGTTCTAGCTTTACGGAGAGCTTTTTTATATGTTAGCAGACTATCTTTCCAAGTTAAATAAAATCCTTCAACATTAGTAGAGCGCCATTTTCTCTCCTGGTTTCTAGATGCTGCTTTAAAGTACGTAACTCAGAATTGAACCAAGGAGCCAGTTTCCTCTGATTGATTACTTTCTTTTTCACTGGAGATATTTTATCAAGTGAAGTTTGCATTGAAGTTGTAAGATGATCAACTAGATGATCTAAGTCTCTGTTCTCTGATGCATTACTCTGCAAGACAGAGGAAAACATTGATGGAAGAGATTGTTTCAATTTGGTTACAGCATTTTCTGATAAGCACCTGCTGAGAAGAAATTTACGCTCAGTGATTCATTTAATGTAAACTCGGAGGTTATTAAAAAATGGTTGGACAGAATAGAATTTTGAGGAACTATTACGAAATCCTTAATCTCCATACCATAGTTCAGAACTAAGTCAAGGGTGTGATGATAAGAATGAGTAGATGTGTGGACATTTTGGGTAAAATCATGGATGGATGGTCCCATGGATGGACAGTCCCATGGATATATGGTCTCATGGATAGATGGTCCCATGGACAGTCCCATGGATGGTCCCATGGATGGATGGTCCCATGGATGCATGGTCTCATGGATAGATGATCCCATGGATGGACAGTCCCATGGATGGACAGTCCCATTAATGGATGTTACTGTTCTGGAGAGCAAACCTTTGCTTATTTGCTTTTGCCGATGATGCGACGTTATTCATGGTAGGCGTTCAGTTCATGGCCCTGAAGTCCCACCAAACAAGTCTGAATATAAAAAACAGCTGCTTAGTCTTGGACTAAACTTTTAGGATCTGCAAGTAAAGTAAAATAATTAACCTAACTTTATTCAGCTACCTATCTATTTTCTTATGCAGTCCTTTTAATTTACTCTTTTTTTGTTTCCTAGGGTTTTAATTTAATTCCCTGAAGGATAGTTGTGCAAAAAAATCATAGTTTTCCAACATTTCTCCCTGAGGTAGCTTTGGCAAGGACTCACACGGCGGCCGTTTCTGCCTTTCAAACACTCCTCAGATGCCGTGGAACAGATCGCCGGTGCAGCCCTGCATCTTTGAAGTGCCTGCCATCTCATGCAGGTTGGCTGGACCATCGCTCCCCATCCCCCCAACCCTCTCATTTTCATCCTGTGTCCTAAACTTGGCAGAGTTATTCTGAGCTAGATGAAAAAAAAACCTAAATAAAATCTGTGTTTAGGGCACAGTGGTGGCGAAGATTTAAATTTTCCAGATCTTGAGTGACAGAGACTGTGGATGATGAGTGTGAGACATGCAGAGTAAATCCTTCCTTGAAAGAACAGGAGGACTGCCTCAGGTGTGTGTGCGCACACAATGCAAGTGTGCTGATTCTTCATGAAACTGCTCGTGTGAGATGCAGGAAGACAGAGAGGCAAATCATTGATATGTTGCCATTCATGTGCTTTAAAATGGAGCCATCTGAGAACAAATTTCACCATCGGGGCCTTTCATATTCAAAGCTCTGAGGAGGTGTGTGTATGAGATAGAGAGAGAGCAGGTTTTGGAGATCTCACCTCCAAAGAATTTGGCCATATGGTCGTCAACACATATACCAAGAGAGACAGACAGAGAAAGATTGAGTCGAGCCAAAAGAGGGACTTAAAGTGAAGCAGTGTTTTGTTTTGTCAGTGAAAGCTGCAGCCTTAAACACATCCCATACTCTACCTTGGATCAGATGGCTCGATGAAAAAAGAAAAAGAGAAATCCTTCAAAGCCTCCTCTACTCCACATATTTGTGAAGTAGGAAAATCTGTCTCAATTAACACATTTGCATTGGGCAATGATGGACTCCAAATAGGTCACTGACTCAATCTCCCGCCTCCGAATCTTCCCTCTAAAATGTTAATTAAGGAGGGCTTTGAGAGTTTTTCGCTCTGGGCTGGCCATATGGGCTGGGCATATGTTCTATATATATGATACAATATATAATTCATATAGTGCTGCAGGAGGGCCTGTTTGGGGCTTTACAACAAAGGGAGTCAGTATGTTGTGGCCTCCCCAGTGGCAGGTACAGAGCTTAGTCTATTCATTAGCTTCATGTTATTCACTGTTGCACAATGGGATTGAGGCTCATCAGCACCTGGTTCTTTGGCTGACAACATAAAAAGGGCTTTTAAATTCCTCTTTGTCCATCGGTTAATATGAAATGAGTGAATGATCTATTGTTGGACTTGAGCTGCTCTTTTTATTGATGGATTTATGTGAGCTCAGGTTAGAAGGATGGAGTGAAGCAGAGAGTTTGCTGAGATTCTCCATGTTTCCTCACTCGCTCTCTCAGTTGTCCCCATGCCATCCACCCAAACACCCATTCAGCAGCAGGATGAGCCAATAAGAAGAGCTCACAGCTTCTTCTTCTTCTTTCTTTTTTTTTTTTTTTGGAGGGGGATATGGCCAAACTAATCAGCGAGGACCTGCTAGCACACCTGACTCTGTTTCTGGGCCGGAGACAGCCAATGGCTGTGGCTCCAGGACACCTGATGCAACTATAGACTGGCTGGTTGTCTGGAGCCCTGCACAGGTGCTGTGAATACAGGCCATTAGCCAATCAAATGCTTGCTTTCAGTAACAAACACACACGTGGCCTGGCAGACTTTGGGTACTCGCTGTTTGGTCTTGGGCTCATACACGTGCATCCGGAAAGGCCTTACTATCACATTCCCATGATGCTTTGCTGTCTTATCAGCAGATCTGTCTCCTGCTGTTCCTGGCTTCATCCTCATCATGAGGCTCAACAACAGGTGCCATGTTGCCCCCCCCCCACCCCCCAACTACCCTTCTCTGCAATAAACAGGAGAGTAGAATAAATGAAAAAAAATTATGAACTTAATAAAGATTATTAGAAATCACACAACTGCAACAAAAACAAGGGAGGTTTGAGAGTGCAGATAATCTGTAATAAAAAGCTGAGGGGAGGAACGGGGTGATTGGGTGGGGGTGGGGGGGGGGGGCGCTGTACAGACCTCTCATTGCGAAGGATATGAATAGCCTTTGTTTTCACCACAACTCAGGGCTGTGTGGTCTGCCAGCGTCTGGCTCTTATTATGGGTCTGTGTCTGTGCATCTGTGTAAGTGGCATGCACGTGTGCGCTGGTGAATGCTTGTGTGTGTGTGTGTGTGTGTGTGTGTGTGTGTGTGTGTGTGTGTGT